AATAATAATAATAATAAATATTTTAAGTAGTAAATAATTAATAACAATTAAAAAAATTACTCAAATAATCGATTATAATCGATTAATTATTTGAGTCAACTAATTTTTTTTGCAGTGTAGATAATAAGAAAAGAAATAAAATAAAGTTCACTTAAAAAATAAGCAATTATTGTGTAAAGAATTAAAAAACATTGTTTATAATTTTTACAACGTTTCACAGATTTATGTAAATTACTTCTTTGCAAATTCTGGAATACGCGAAGTTGTAACCGTCGAAAATGCATGTGCAAACAAAAAAATGGCAGTTTACAGCACTTTCTTCAAATTTTAATTTTAAAAGGGTATGCAAACACTTTCAAGTGTCCAATTAAAAAGGTAAGGTGCAAATATTAATTCATACTTTAGTATGCTCTGAGTCAAATATTGTACTTTTTTTTTTTTTTTTTTTTGTAAAAATTGAAAAAAAAATTAATTTTGGAATCGTGTTTAGGAATTCTTATAAAAAAAATGTCATGACTAATTAGCAAAAATATTGTACTCCTTGCAGGGAACAACGGCTACGTTTGCAATGCCATTAGTTTATTCGTATTTGACTACAAATCATGCATGTGGGCCATTTTATGCAATGTACAATATTTTCAAATTAAATCCAAAAAAGCCTGAGATTACGCCAGCACTTTTTGTCGCTGCATTTACGGGACACATATCCGGTCCTGAATGTCATCCTGATGTTAAATTCAACCAAATGAATTAATAAAGTTATACAATAATCTTCAAATTTAATTTAATAAATAATTCACAATGTAATAATAAACAGTAGTAAATAATAGTAAATAATAATAAATAATGATAAATAACATTAAATATAATAAATCATTTCGATAATAAAGTTATATTTAAGTTGACTTTACATAAATTTCTATTTCTATTCCTATTCACATTTATTAAATACATAAATATATTTTGAAATTTAATTTTAATTCATAATTTATTTTTATATACACTAAGAAAAAATTCTTTTTTATTTAATTCTTTTTAATATAAAAATAAGTAGCAAACCAAAAAAAAAAATTTCAATTAAACGTATTTTATAATTGAATTAAACGTAATTCTTATTCAAATATGCAGACACTTTAATATGTCCAATTAAACCGTTAAAATTTCAAGTATTTCTACACTGATTTGTCTATTATAAACAATTATCAGGGTTGACACAAAAATTTAATTTTGTTTTTTAGAAATTTTAATACATTTTTTTGCAAAAATTTAAATATTTTTGTTAAATAATAAAAAACTTTGCAGAAATTCAGTTATTGTAAAAAATCTTAATTAAATTCTTGGCAAGTATTCAATTATTTTCATAAATATCAAAATTTATACAGAAATTTAAATATTTTCAGAAGTTTTAATAACACTTGTTCGTAGGAATTCAATTATTTTTAATACAATTTTAATTGAATTCCATGAAAGAAATTACAAATTTTTTAATACAATAATTGTATTTTTGCAATGAATTTTATTATTTGTGATATAATTGAATTTTCTGGCAGAATTTTATAAAAATGTTGTTAAATAATTGAATTCTGGTGAAAAATTATATTATTTGTGAAAATTATTAAATTTTTGCAAAAAATTTTATATTGCTTAAAATTTTACATAATTTATGACATTAACTATTAGTCTTTTTAGGAATTAATAAATTAAAACTGCATTTAAAATAATAAAATTTTTATAAAGAATTTTATTCAAACTTTTGAAAGTAATTGCAATTTTTAGAGAAGTTTTATTAAAATTGTATTCCGAATAATTATATTTTTGCAAAGAATTTTATCATTGATGAAAATAATTGAATCCCTGAAAAAATCTATTATTTATCAAAAGAATGGAATTATTACGAAGAAATTTATAAAAAATTTGTAAATAATTGAATTCCTGCGATATTTTTATTATTTATGAAAATAATGAAATGTTTGCGTTGAATTTTATTAAAATTTTGTTTAAATATTTGAACTCTTTTGGAAAATTTTATTAAAATAGTAGATACCTATTGAAAATCATTGAATTAAATAAAAAAAGTTGTCAGTCAAAATTGAACTACATCAATGAGCCAATTACAGGAAATTAAAATTTTTACTTGATTGTAACACGTGGAATATTGCTCATATTTTAATTACAGTCACAGAAAATATTCAAATACAATTCTTTTACACGTAAACATTAAACGATAAGAATTTAAACATTTAGATTACAAAAACACTATAAATTTAGGAAAAAAAGCAACTTTAAAAGAAAATAGTTTGAAAATTACAGAAAATATTAAAACACCTATACCAAACAAAAATGTCGAAAATCATATGTTTTTTAATGATTCTCGCTTTTGGTACAACTGTAAGTATTTTACTTCTAAATATTCATATTTTTGAAAATCGAAGAATTTTTCAAATACTACAAAAATTCTATTTCAGGTAGTGAACTCTCTGCTTTTTAAAAAACGTATGGCAAATCGAACCCTAACTTTATATAACAGTGATTTTTTGATGAACAATATTACAACAGGTGTGAAATTATCAAAAGTTGGTAATGATTTAAAATTTCTCTGGACCGAAGAATTCAACAATAAAAATAATTCCTTCAAAGTAAGTACATAAATATATACACTACCGTCGGGAATTATCGGTACGGCTGCACGCGCACAGCCCAAAAACATTCCAATCTTTAAATCACGATTTTTTTGTAAATACAAATGTCAGAAAATTAACAAATATACCATTCGAAAGATTATTAAATTCTACGATTAATTGTACATAACTGAAAATTTTAATAATTTATACAAAGCTTGCAGAAATCTACAAATTTGACAAAAAAAATTTTTAAATAAAATTTTTTTAGAAATTATTTCAACCCCTGCACATTTTTTAAAAATTGTAGGAAAATTTTGAAACTTACATAGGTGTAATCATTCAAGTCTCATCTTTAATTTAAGACTAAAAAAATTCAAAAATCTTATTGGGTTCGTGAAATATCGTTATAAACGTACGAACATGTTTTTTGACAAATGCATTGAATTAGTTGATTTTGAACAGTTTTTGACTGAAAATGCTCGGCCGTTTATAATGATATCTCGCTAACCGATTAAGATTTTTGAATTTTTTTGGTCTTAAATTAAAGATGACACTTGAATGATCACACCTATGTAAGTTTTAAATTTTTTCTACAATTTTTTAAAAATATGCAGGGGTTGAAAAAATTTCCACAAAAATTTTATTTTTTAATTTTTTTTGTCAAATTTGTCAATTGTTGTAATCTTTGTATAAATTATTAAAATTTTCAGTTATGTACCATTAATCGTAAAATTTAATAATCTTTCGAATGGTATATTTGTTAATTTTCTGACATTTGTATTTACAAAAAAATCGTGATTTAAAGATTGGAATGTTTTTGGGCTGTGCGCGAGCAGCCGTACCGATAATTCCCGACGGTAGTGTATTTTTAGTATTTTTAGTCCCATTCGTATTTATTAAATACCTAAACTTATTTTCAAATTTTAATTCATAATTAATTTTTATATAGGTTTATGTAAATTTCTTCTTTGCAAATTCTGGAATTCGACAGATAGTAACTCTTGATAATGCGTGTGGCACTTACAAAAATGGCACTATAGAATACTTTCTTCAAAAATTGGTTTTAGGGGGATTTGCAAACACTTTAAAATGTCCAATTAAACCGGTAAATTTTCAATTATTTCTACATGAAGAAAAAAGAGCTGATTTATTAAAAATTAAATAAAAATTATCAGAAATTACTATTTATTAGTAAAATTTACTAATTCAAAAGCAAAAAGTCAGTCACTAATTCAAATTAGTCAACATTTTTACTAATTCAAATTTAGAGAGTAATAATATTTAATTTAATTAAAATATTTTATTTGCAGGGTGCAACAGCCACTTTTAAAGCTCCACTAAAATTTTCGTTTCTAACACCAATTTTTGCATGTGGCCCTACTTATGCAATGTACAATGTTTTTAAATTGAATCCAAAGAAGCCTGAGATTACCCCAGCACTTTTTATTGCTACATTCACAGGACACGTCACTGGTCCCAACTGTTATCCCGAAGCAAAATTTAATCAATTACGTTAATAATTACAGATACTTTAATTGTATATTTCAAAATAATTTATTTAACAATAATAAACTTTAAATTAAAATCCTCTCTCTTAATTAATCCGAATAAGTGGAAATCATTTTCACTAATTACTATACAACCACTGATGGTATTAAACGACTGTTTTTTCATCAGTCGCATTCACTGCGATTCGCAGATTTACAGTTGTATAGAATAAAAAAAAATGAAATAAAAAAAAAACAGGACATTTTCATGAAACAATAAATATAAAAAAATAATTGAAATTTAATGGAAAAATGGACACATTAAAAATGGAGGCAGAAATGTAATAATTTTATAAAAATTTAACTCAATTCACAGTACAATAATTTTTAAAAGCGAAAAAAATTTTTCTGAATATTCCATACATTATTGAAAATAATTTTTCGGGTGCAAAGAATTAAACATTCATTCATTCTATACTTGTTTACACATTTATAACAAAAAACATTAAGTTTTTAGCATTTATTCTATTTTCAAAATATGTAAAAGAAAATTATGTTTTAAGTTAATTTAATTCTAAAAATGTTATTTTCTTGAGGCATACTAATATCATTTAACTTTGCATTGCCTAACCTTGTCAATTCAATACAAAGTATTTTTGTATTTATTATAAAGCGTAACAGTTTAGCAACTTAAATAAATGTCCAAAGTTTAAAATTCCATATATTGGTATTAGTTCAATACTATAAAAGAGGACAAAAATTATCTTACGCAATTATCATAATGCTCAATTGATATTAAAAATAAAACAAATTATTGTTGCAAGTTTATTTAAAATGATAAGAAATTATAAAATGTATTATATACGTTTCTTTACAATTTAGTTGAAAAACTTTACAAAACTTAATAGGTAGTGGAATTTAACGATCACTCCGAGGCAAGAAAATTAAAATAAAAGAAAATAAATTTTGTTTACGTTTACGTTCTGTTTAAAAAAATTACTTTACTACAAAAATGTTCAAATTCTATCTACTATTTGCACTCGCTGCTTCTACATATGTAAATATTTTTTATATTATAATTAATAATTATTATTAGTTACGTTTAATTAAATTTAAATATTATTAAAAATAGGAATTTTTACTATTTTTAATTAAAATTTTCATTAATTATGCTTAGTATTTAGAACTTAAATTTTTTTTACTACAGTTCTATACCTCTATAGAAATTTAGTAAAACTTTGATAATTTTCATTAATTTTTTATTATAGTAAAAAATGCATATTATAATAATAATTAATATTATTATTAATAAATATAATTTTTCACTAAAGTTAAAAATTAATGAATAATTAGGAGAAATTTTTACGAATTTAAATTAATAAACGAATTTAGTTCGGAATTTAGTCAGTTTCAAACTGGAAATAATTATTTCAAACTGGAAATAATTATAAATTTAAAAATTTATTCAAATCTGGAGAGTAGAAATAAATTGTTTTTAGAGCGATTATAAATTATATTTCAGGCATATGTTCGGTACGTCGAACTACCTGAGGGACATGCAATACAAGGGACAAACTCTTCTGGATTAATTATAAGACTAAAAAGTACCTATCTCGAAGTTGAATGGTTAGAAGACTTTGGTTATGAAAATTCATTGAAAGTAAGTGAATTTCTATTTATTAATTTTTTTCTCTCCTTGTAAAAAAAAATTTTATTCTAAGTTTTACATTTACATTTCCAAGAATTTCCCATCAATGTTCCAAAGTAAAAACCTTGAAGGGTTTTCAAATTTGTACGAAAAGCTTATCGCAAACTTTGAATAATAATCTTTCGTGCTATCAAAGAGGAAAAAAAAAATTTTACTCTCTATGTATTCATTTTAAAAATATTTAGGCAAAAATAACGATTTGTGTTCTAGGTTTATTTCAATTACATTTTTGAAGAAACTGGCGAACGTGAAATTGTTGAACTTCAAAACTTGTGCGGTAAATACAAGGAAGGCTCTATAGCCGATTCCCTTAAGAACTTTATTTTGGCTAAACTGGGAAACACCAATAAATGTCCAATAAAAAAGGTAATAATAGAAGAATACCACAAGTTCCTAGGGGCAAATACCCTTCAATTAAAGGATTAATTATTTCATTAACATTTAATTATTAATTGGAAATCATTAATTATTAATAATAATTATATTCTATTATTAATAATTATAATTACTGTTAATACAAATAGGAATTCTGTTATTTTTAGGGTACAGTAAACGTCACATTTCCAGTGATATTTACCTATAATACAACATCAAAAGGTTGTGGACCTGCTTTTGGATTCTACAATATTTTCCGAAATAATAAAACAGATTCTAAAAGAACACCTTTACAAATGGGTTTAACATTTAGAGGTGTCGTATACGGCAAAGACTGTTGATCATAAAATTGATAGACAATAAATAAATTATTGTACAACACCATTTTTTAATTACTTTCATGAATTTTGTGACAAATATGTTTCATAATTTACATTCGAAATTTAAATTCTTTTTGATAAAAGTATTTTTCTATTCAAGCTTATTTATTTTTAGGACTTTAGAATTTTTCACTAGAAGCTTAAAGCGAATTCAGTGAAATATCTTGTTACGCTATCACAATTTTTTTAATGATATCAAATTTAAAAAGTAGTTTTCAATACATTTATGTAATACTTAAATTTAAATAAAATAATATTCATATACGTGTGCTTCATACACACGAAATAGTAAAAAAACAAACTTTATTTATCAGTATTTTATAGTTAAATAACATGTTTAGAGAATGTTAATAAAAAACAAGTTAGTAGTCTACTAAAACTTTATTTTAAAATGATAAGAAATGTTTTTAGTGTATATTATGCACGTTTCGAAGGTGCATAATTTACTTTAAAACTTTACGAAACTTCAACACTTTGAAAATGATAAAATTCATATTTATGTTACTTGCCTTCGCTGCTGTTGTCAATGTAAGAATTTTTGATACTTTCATTTATTATTATTAATATTATTATATTGCGAAAAATATCGAAATAGGAAATGAGCATTGCCTCTATTTCCAAAGTAAATTTTACAAATTTTAATTTCAATTTTCTTATTTGGAAATGGTAAAAATTTACTCATCCGAAAGTAATAAAAGTTCCTGTATTCTTTTCTCCGTGTAAAAATTTTCTACAATAATTTTGTAACTATATTTTAGGCATATGAACGTCATGTCAACCTACCTGAAGGTGATATAATTCAAGGGAAAAATTCGTCGGGAGTAATTATAAGAAAGAAAAAAACTCATGTAGAAGTTGAATGGTTAGAAGACTTTAATTATGAAAATTCATTAAAAGTGAGTAAATTTCTGAAAAATAACTTTTCATCCTCAGAGTATTTCCAATTAAATTAAATTAAATCGAAAATTAAAAATAAAATTAAATTGTACGAATAATTATAGGTATAATTTATATATTCTAGATTTATTTCAATTATGTTATGGAAAACACTGGTTTACGTGAAATTGTCGAACTTGATAATTTATGCGGTAAATATAAACGTGGCACATTAGACAATTCTGTTAAGAAATTTATATTATCAAAACTCGGAATCACCAGCAAATGTCCAATAAAAAAGGTATATTATACATATACACTACCGTCGGGAATTATCGGTACGGCTGCTCGCGCACAGTCCAAAAACATTCCAATCTTTAAATCACGATTTTTTGTAAATACAAATGTCAGAAAATTAACAAATATACCATTCAAAAGATTATTAAATTCTACGATTAATAATACATAACTTAAAATTTTTATAATTTATACAAAGATTACAACAATTGACAAATTTGACAAAAAAAATTAAAAAATAAAATTTTTGTGGAAATTTTTTCAACCCCTGCATATTTTTAAAAAATTGTAGAAAAAATTTAAAACTTTTGCATAGGTGTGATCATTCAAGTGTCATCTTTAATTTAAGACCAAAAAAATTCAAAAATCTTAATCGGTTAGCGAGATATCATTATAAACGGCCGAGCATTTTCAGTCATTTTCTACAATTTTTAAAAAATATGCAGGAGTTGAAAAAATTTTCACAAAAATTTTATTTTTTAAATTTTTTTGTCAAATTTGTCGATTGCTGCAATCTTTGTATAAATTATTAAAATATTCAGTTATGTATCATTAATCGTAGAATTTAATAATCTTTCGAATGGTATATTTGTTAATTTTCTGACATTTGTATTTACAAAAAAATCGTGATCTAAAGATTGGTATGTTTTTTGGCTGTGCGCGTGCAGCCGTACCGATAATTCCTGACGGTAGTGTAGAAAAATATTGGAGAGAATTTTAAATACCTGCGAATTAATATACTCAAAAAATAAAATTTTTCATTACTTCTTAATTTTAATTTATATTAAAAAAATGTACAATTTTTAGGGTGTGAAAAAAATCACATTTCCCATCAAGTTTGACTATCAGACAGAAACTAAAGAATGTGGACCCGTTTATGGACTTTTTAATATATTAAGAAATAATAAAGAAGATCCTAATACGACACCCTTACTAATTGTCTGAACCGCGTAAACGTCAAATGTTTAAAATAATTATTGTTAAAATTTTCTTCTTATTATAATGTCAAATTTAAAAAAAAAATCCACTTTTTTTTGCTATACAAACATTACATTTTTTAAATCATGTTATAAAAGTTTAGAATGCATATGTTCCAGATAAAATTTATTTTTATATTATCATTATTATTAACTTAAATTCATACTAACTAAGAATATCATCACTGTCTACAACACTAATTTTCCTTCGAATTTTTATAGAATATATACAAATTTAAAAGATATAATTTAATGTATACGTCCAATTTTATCGAATATTAAATCTATATGTTAACAATAATGCTCATTCAATTGCGACTTGAAACAAATTATTACTGGAAGATAAATTATTTATATTTTCAAATACCAATCAACGATTTATTTATGTTCTTTATATATTTATATATATTTGTAAGGTCCAAGTTACAGTGCAGTAGTTGTAACAGAGGTGACTCAGATAGTCAAATGTGTATCTGTTGAAATAAAGGTTCAACATGGAGGAACGTGTTACATAGAAGTTGAAGTGAGCAGAAATAATGGATCTTACTACCTGATATCAAGGACACTCATCTGGAAGATCATGGGAATAGAAGTTAAGTGTAACTTATACCATCATACCACAAAATCATCGAAAAATACTACAAAATCCTAACTTCATTTGTGGAAATACAAACACCTGCTGTACTTGTACCAGCATCATCAAATACTTTGGAATATATTAACCGGTAATTTATATTCCAAAGAGAAGTTTAAATTTTTGCGGGAATAAATGAAGTTTCTCGTAAAACAACCGTCTATACTCAACGACTCGGCCAAATCAATGAGAGGACAACCAGTACTATCTTCAAGTGAAGGCGTTATAGGACCCTTTTCAACAAAGAAGTAGTCGAGAAATTGCAGAAAATTCCTGGGATGAGCTGTGGCATGCATTCCCTATTTGTGAGCACAGTCAATGCAGAAGTTGAACCAGTTTTTATCGTCTCTTAATATATTAAAATGATAGAAAACTCCACAATCTATAGATGTCCGATGAACAAATTAGGAGCCATCTGTAGTTCTACAACCCATCATTCAGTGCGACTGATGTCAACCACCAAATTTTAATCAAGAACGTCAACAACAATCGTATCAACAAGATCAAACTAAAACTACACTATACTCTATATTATCACACCTACTTCAGAGAAAACTACATCTATTGAAGTCAAATATTCCAAAGGATTCTTCAACCTTTTTTTATACGATACCATTTGTCTGCAAGTGTCAGTTCTCAAACAACGAAACCTAAACTGGGATACCTAATAATCAAAATATTAAAACATATGTACATTCTGTGGTCGCTTCTCCGATATCACTTTGTTACTATCTATAAGCAACCATTTAACTATGGGGGTGTGACGTCAGAATTAATTTTCTTCCTCCTAAATTTTTTTTTTCTTATTATTTTAATTTCTCTTTCTCGTTTGATAAACTTGAAAAAAAGTTTAGAGAGTTTAAAATTTGTTTCTGAAAATAACAAATATTGATTTCTCTCGAAGAAAGAATTTTTGTCAAATATCATATTAAGATTTTCAAAGAGAAAAATCAATATTTGTTAGCAAATAGATTTAAAAATGCGTTACTTATTTGGAAACCATAGAGCGATCTCATAGTAGAAAAATCTGGACCCTTCAGTCTAAATTTGCGTGGACAGATCCCGGCGCAAGATAATGATCGGTTGACGGCAAAGCGGGAAAAACCCAAAATTCGCCTGTTTAATGACTTTCTCTTATTTTTGTAAAAATTATGTTAAAATTGAATTTTGTCTTTTTCTTGTTTTTGCAACAATTATTAATTTATTGCATGAGGAAAATATTAATTTTTAAACCAATTTTTTTATTATTATTTACTCTTTATGCGATTTCATTTATTTAATAGGATTTGAATTTTCTTTTAATTTATCTTTCTCTCTCTTACTCATAAGTACCAAACGATCAATTAAATTTATAAACATTTAAATAATTGAAATTTCTTTCTTTATTAACAATAAAGTTTAAAATTTGATTAAACAATCGTTATCTTTAATAAATATATTCAATAAAATATTAATTCTATTCATGATTTCTATTCGTGTGTAAAATAAATTCTAAAATAAATTAGAAATTACTAATTAGTAAAATTCAATTATTTAATTGTTTAAATAATATATTATTAAAAATTTAGAACTTTAATAATCCTTTGACTAATTTCAACATGGCAAAATAATAAAATTGTTTAAATTAATGATAAATGCTAATTTACTAAATTTTGTAAAAATAAAATGTTTAATACTAATACTCTACAAAATTAAGATTTAAACAATTTTAATTTAAAATGATGAAATTAAATTAGTTCTAATAATTCACAAAATTTCAAATTTAGTTACTAAAATTAGTAATATACAAATATTCGATCATTTTTAATAATAAATAATAATTGTAATCAAAATTGGAAATTACTCTATATTTTAAGGTTTATTGTAAACAACTTAAATTAACTAATTTCAGATTCTTTGTTAAAAATCGTACTAATTTTTATATAAGATTTTTATTCGATTTAATTGTAAAAATCTTTGATAATTTCTCAAAAAAGGTTGAATTTTTAAAACTTTGAATTTTACGGAAAACCTAACAGTATCTCCATCTTTTGGAAAAACTCTCAAGTTTTATCCCACTCTAAAGATTTTCAAATTCAAACGCCCACATGAAAATTTGGCAACTTTCGGAGGGACGAAACTAAGGGTCCCAATCATAAGACCCTCGATAATGAGATTTTACGCCTTCTTCTTTTTCTATTCGACAAAACTGAATTTTGCCATGCCCATACTCCTCCACTAGAAAATTTTTTAGAGGGGACAAAAGTATAAAAATTGGAATTTTGGCAAAAATCTGGACTTCACTTCTCTACACTTCTTCATTTTTCTTCTTCTTCTTCTTCATTTCTTTTTCAATACACACATTCACATTTCAACTTTGAATTTTTAAGTTTCAACTGTCCTAACTTCTTCAAATTACTACAAGTTTTAATAAGTTTTTCAAAGTTTTACAAATTTTAAAAAAAGTCAAACAAGTTTTTGACAAGTTTTAATAAGTTTTTCAAAGTTTTACAAATTTTAAAAAGTTTAACAAGTTTTTGACAAGTTTTAACAAGTTTTTCAAAGTTTTACAAATTTTAAAAAGTCATTTTTACATGACAAGTTTTTGACAAGTTTTAACAAGTTTTTCAAAGTTTTACAAATTTTAAAAAGTCATTTTTACATGACAAGTTTTTGACAAGTTTTAAAAAGTCAAACAAGTTTTCTACAAGTTCAACAAGTTTTAAAAAGTTTTCAACAAGTTTTTCAAAGTTCAACAAGTTAAAAAAAAAGGTTAAACAAGTTTTGACAAATTTTACAAAGTCAAAAATACTTTAAAAATTTCTACAATCTACAAAAAAATCTTGAGGAGAAATTATCAAAGATTGAACGACGAAATATATTGCTGCCTATTCTGTTTGCCGAAATATTCAAATTACAACAATAAAAGTAAGTTTAATGAATAAATGTTATAAAATTAATTAATTCGTTTACATTCATTCATTTTCTTTTTTTATCACAAGTTTACTTTCTTCTACTCTTTACATTTTTTTCGTCTGAAATAGAAACTTGTACAACCGAGTTTCATGATGACACTTGAATTTTTGAATAGGGAAAACGCGCGGTATTGATATGTATAGTTGCTAACCTTATTTTATTAAGCGCGTAGGCTATACATTTTCAATTCTCTTTTCGTTAACTTCTTTTCTTCCTTCCTTAATACATACGTTTTACACTAATTTTAAGACAATTTAATCTATCAAAATAAGATCAAAAGATTCCCGAACTATTAGACTTTATTGTCTAGGTTCAAACAATATGTTAATATTTTATTATTAACAACTTTTAAATTATGTTATATCTTCGGACGTAACACAGTAGTATTTTTGGGGTTATTTTTATTTTATGAAAATACTCTTTTTTAAGAAAATCTATATTAATAAAATCAGACTTCTGTCTGTACATTGCTCCAATCTTGAAAATTCTTATATATTTTTTCTTCTTGAGACATGAGAATTCGAAAAATGTAAAAAAAAAAATGTCTGTCTGTCTGTCTATCTGTCTGTCTGTCTGTCTGTCCTTCTGTCTGTCTGTCTGTCTGTATGCAAAACTTTGTTCGCGCATCACTTGAAAACGGTTCAACCGATTGAAGTGAAACTTGGCAGTCTATTAGGTATTAACGTAACTTAAAATCATAGCCTTATCCGATTAAAAAATATTAACTTAAACGAAAGTTACGACATTTTTTCAAAAAATTCGAAAAATCAAAAAAATGAAAAATTTTTATTTTTTATAAAATGGATGAAAAACTATCCTTAACTAACTTTTTAGATAAATACAACCCATTTCTATACTAAAATTTCAAAAAAAGACGTATTTTGAAATTTTTTTCGATTTTTCTGATCAAATTTTTTCTACAAAAATGATGATTTTTGATTTTTAAACAAGCTTTTTATGGAAAGTTATTAAACTTTTTTATTTAAAGACCAGTATTTAAAGCAAGAAATTTGCCTCATTTGACCAAAAAAATTGTTTCAATATTCAGTTTTTAAAATCAAGAAAGTTATACAGAAGTTAACAAAAAAATGTTCATATAAATTAAATGTATCACTGCTACTCAAAGGGTTAAATATTAATTAATTCTTGCATTAAGTTGGTATTGATATTTTCTAATTAATTAATTAATTTGTTTTCTTGGTAATTTTAATTTCAATTTTATTATAAAAATAGAAAAAAATAGGAATTTTAAATATAAAATTTAAAAGTTTAAATATTTTTACCCATAAAAATTGAAAATATTAATATCTAATTTTTTTGATTTTACCTACTTATTACTTCTAAATAAGATGTTTTTTGTTTTTACAAATTATGATCCAAGATAATTTAGTAATACTGAAATAAAAATGTTTCATATTTTTTATCGAATTTAATTAACAAGAATTTTTTTTTAGTTTTACAAAGCTCCTAGAGAATAATCCCGAGTAGAAATTTTGACAGGGGCCTGGCCGGGTCCAGACAGGGGTGAAACAGGGAACCCGCCCAGCGCCATGACGAAAAGCCCGATTGGACTAGCTACCAGGCCGGGGCCCGGTCGGGTTCCCGGTTTCATGCGGGGTCAGGGCCCTGTTAGGGCAATTTCTGCACGGGATTTAAAAACTTGCCAAAAACAACCAATAGTGGTCACCTCCACGTGGTGCTTCTCGGAAAAAAGATAATAAATGGTTTTTTATAAGCTCCAAATGCGAAATTCTAAGACTGCAAAACGGGCCCGTCAGCACTGAAAAAATTACATTCTAATTTTAAGAAAAACTTCTTAAATATGCGCCAAGAATATTCCCCACTTAAATTAAGTAGGAAATATTCTTACAATACTAATTTTCTTCTTATTGTAAGAATATTTCCCACATAATCTAAGTGGGGAATATAAGAATATTAAGATTTTAATATTAAGATTTTCTTAAAATTAAAATGTAATTTTTTCAGTGAATGTCTGCAGAAAACTGGCAAAAACTACTGGACCTATACTGGCATTCAAAACGTCTCATTGCTGGTAACGGGACTTAGCACGGACCAATAGTGGCACATTATTATCAGACTATTAGGCTAAACTTTTCTATTTATGATGGAAAGTTGTAATTGAAAGTATTGGATAAAACTGAATTCTCGGATTTTTGGAAAATCCGTGACAAAAAAATAAAAATCACAACTTTCCTCGCCTCGAATCCTCTTGCAATTTTTTTAAATGGATTCTGATTATTAAGAGAAAAAAATGCTTGCGAGGCGAGGAAACAATAATTTAGTTGAATTTCCAGGAATTTCGGGAAATCCGTGATCCTTTTGTAATTTTTTCAAAAGGGTGTTAATATTAAAATAAGCAATTAGCTAAAGTAAAAATTTTCGTCGAATGAACGTTGGTATTTTCAGTTTCAGAATATTGGGACGTTGATCGGCTCAGTAATGGCACATTAATAGTAAAAATTTTGTATCTGCAATGATGGCAAAATATAATTGGCAATATTGGGACGTAGTTAATTAATAAAAAATGGAATAATTTATATTAGTTTTTGTATTTTGCCAATACTGGGAAAGTAATGGCAGTGAATATTGGGCCGTTAACGTCTGCCGACGTCAAACCGAAATTAACACCACAAGAGTAGTCCCAATAATATCGACCAAGACTAGGTGACAACTTTGCCAGTACTGGGCCGTTATTAAGCCATGATGGTTTTTAGATTTGGGCGATTTTAAAAATTGTAAACATTATCATTTTTCTTTCCTTAAAATTTCGTTTTCTTCTTCATTAATTAATATTAATAATCATCAAGAAAATTATTTTCAATGTAGTTGGTTAAATACCAATCAATACTCAATATGGAAAACTATAAAAATACTAAGAAACACGTCGAAGACGGGTATCGCAGCTAGTATAGAATAATAATAATAGAATTGACAGAGTGTCTACCAATTGCGCGGGGAAACCGATAAATAGCCAGGAGTTTAATTTGACCAGGAAAAACCGGGAATTTTCTTATCAAATTAAAAAAGTTTTATTATATTAATTTGATTTTAAAAACTGCTTTTTACTTTAATTTTTATTGTCTAATTGTCTAATTGTGACACAATTATTTATAATTAGACTCTTCTTTGACTCCAAAAGCTGGTGTAAATTTAGGATTAATTTTTAATACATTAATTGCAGTACTACAAACGCACAAAGTACTACAAGTTGCCAAATACTGTTCCTGAATATCAAATTTGATAGAAAAAAATCTGTCACTGATTGAAATAGTAATATTTTCCTCACGAAATAGTTAATGGTAACTAATTATTAGTTTTTCCCAGTAAAATTTAATTCCCGGCTATTTCTCGGTTGGTAGAAAAGAAACCCTATCAAATGTATTAGCCGAAACTAAAACCCGTCGAAGACGGGTCCGACAGCTAGTTATAAATATTTATAGTTCGTAATTTTAAAAATGAGTTATAAATTTTAGGCGCTGGATCGAAAAGTGACTCTTTCGTCAGGATACATAACGAAAGGTAGAAATGCCAATGACATAACAATTCAAAACAACCGTAACTCTCAAGAAATTACATGGGAAAAGGATTTTGATAATTTGAAAGTAAATGTCAAAACAATCTTTCTGCTTCTAACAAGTATAGAATTTTAAGCAATGAAAAATAAATCAAAATTCAAATAATAATTTATAAATTACTGTTATTTTTTTTTAGTTTTATTTCATGCAGCTACATGAACTTACTGGTAAACTGGAGACTGTTACAGTTGATAATATGTGCAAGAAATATAGGAAAAAATGTATGGAACACGTTTTGATTGAATTTGTTCTACAGGAATTGGCAAATACAGATGAATGCCCAATTAAAAAAGTAAATTAAAAAATAGCTTGGATAAAAATAAACCATTTTTTTCTAAAAATGTAAAAATTTTCTCATTCACAGGGTGCAGTAAAAATTTCTTATCCGTTGGATTTCGAATTTCAAATAAAAGATCCAAAGACACCATGTGGACCAATTATTGCAATGTTTAGTATTATTAAAAAAAATCAGTCGAATTCCGATAATAATTCTTTATTAATGAATATTTGGTTTCGAGGTGTTATAACTGGCGATAGTTGTGAATGATTTTTACAATGATATTTACTATTGTATAAATGGTATAGTATTCGATACTGTATAAATAGTTATTATGGATAATAAAATCGAAAAATGTAACATCATAATGTACATACTGTTACAGTACATTAGTTAAAAATAAATAAATTTAAAAAAAAAAGAAAATTTATTAAATTTATTAAAATATAAATTAAATTAAAATTAAACAAAATATCTGTTTAAATCGTTTTACTGACAATAAGTGACTGACTTTTGGCTTCTGCAATCAGTTAAAAATCACTGAACTGACAATATTATAATTTATACTGACAATCAGTTATTTTTAAATAAATTATCAGTAGAAATTTTACTATTTGAAAATAATTAAAAAATAAATCATTTTTAAAACATTTTAGAAAACTGATCCTTCGATGGATTATTTTAATCCTTGATGAATTAAAGCGTTGCAGATTATTTTAATCCATTTTGGTGTTAAAATAATACTCCACAATTTTCTGTGAATTACTAATAAATAGTAATTTTTACTAATTTATTAGGAAAGTTTGCTAATTCAAAGACAAAAAAACAGTTACTAATTCAAATTAGTAAACATTTTTAGTAATTTAAAATTAGTAAACATTTTTATTTATTCAAAATTAGAGAGATTATATTATGATTGTTAAAAAAACAATAAATTGTCTAAAACCACATTAGTTTTAATGTTTAAAAATTCAACACGTGGATACAAAATACATTAGTTATTATATACAAGGAAATGAATTTAAAAATTTGATAAACATTTTATCTTTTTTTAATGTTCACAATGATATTTAATATTTTTTGTCAAACTAACTTGTAGTATTGTAACAAAAACTAAAATAATGATACTTTTATCTATATTTTCCGATAAAAAAAAACCACCTTACTAACATGTAGTCACTATAAAAGCACGTGTCATTTAGAACAATAAATTATTTATATTGTATTGAACTAAAAAACAATGGAAGTGTTAAAACTACTTTGTTTTTTAACTTCACTTGCTGTTGTCTCAAATGTAAGTTCCAGAATTTAACAAAATATAATTTATACTCACGAAAAGAGAAATATTTTTATTTGCAATTTCGATAACGTTTCATTAAGCAAAAGAATTAATTAGTTAATATAAAAATTACTTCACTTCAGATCTGCTTCACTTAGTCAATTAATTATATAAAAAAAATATTGACATTTACTATTTAAACCTGAAAACTAATTGTAGTCTAGAATATTTCTGATCTGATTTATGCAGAAATTTTTACTACTTCTGCAGTAAATTCTGCTACATTCGAGGTACAAATTATTTCTATTACAGTTTACATCGAAAATAATAAAAATTGTCAAAAATATGCAAAAAGTACTGGCAATGTAACTTTAACCATATGAAAGAAGTAAAAATTACTTTAATCACTTTTCTTCTTTTACAATTTGACTTAATAATTATAATTATTTACTTCAAAGAAAATTATTGCGTATTATTTTAAAACCAAAATGGATTAAAATGATCTGCAATATTTTAATCTATCAAGGATTGAAATAATCATCCGAAGGATTTTTTATTTTTTTTTTAAATGTTTTAAAAATGATTCGGTTTTAATTTAGAAACATTTTTGTTCATGGGAAAAATTAATTCAAAAATTGATTAATTTAATCTTTTTTGCTGTTAATTTAAGCTACCACGCTTTTAATACCTCCTACTTTACTGTGTTAACAAAATTATAAATGTTTATAGTTAATTTTAAAAATCAGTTCCAAATTTTAGGCACTGCATCGAACAGTCACTCTTTCGTCAGGATACATAACGAAAGGTAGAAATGCCAGTGATATAACAATTCAAAACCACCGTGGCTCTCAAGAAATTATATGGGAAAAGGATTTTAATAATTTGAAAGTAAATGTCAAAATAATTTTTTTCCAACAAGTATAAAATTTTAAGAAATAGAAAATAAATTATTGAAAATAAATCTAAAGTAATAATTTATCCGTTATTCCAATTTTTTTCAGTTTTATTTTATGAAGGTACATGAAGTGACTGGAACACTGGAAGCTGTAACAGTTGATAATGTATGCAAGAAATATAAAAAAGAAAGTATAGAACGCGCTGTAAATGATTTTTTTCTCAAGGAATTAGCAAAAACAGATAAATGCCCAATTAAAAAGGTAAATTGTAAAACAGCTTGGATAAAAATAAACAATTTTTTATATGAATTTTCTCATTCACAGGGTAAAGTAAAAATTTCCTATCCGATGAATTTCAAATATGAAATAAATGATCCAAAGACAGCATGTGGACCAATTATTGCAATGTACAACATTATAAGAAAAAATCAGACGAATTCCGATGATAATCCTTTATTAATGAATATTTGGTATCAAGGTGTTATATCTGGTGACGGTTGTAAATGATATAGTATTCGATAATGTATAAATGTTTATTGTGGATAATAAAAAAGAAAAATTTAATAAAGTATAAAGTACTAAAATATATGTTTCTATATTGTCAATTCAATTGTATTCAATTTTCAATCACTACGACTTGAACACTCTATTTGAATCAACAAAATTTCGATAGCAATGGACGAAAATTGATTGGGTCTCTAATTTCAAGTAACTTCTTTTAAATAAAACAGTTAATCAATTTAACTATCTAACCATGAATTTAATTCAATTAATAAATTTAATTTGATAGATGAATTTAATTCCTTAAATTAAGTCTCCTTTTTACCTCATTCACATTGTTAGACTTGAAAGAGTTCAAAATCGTTTTTTGCGCTTTGTTGCTAGGCAACTTGGTATTGGTTACGATTTTTTTTCCCATAACTATGATGCTTTACGTTCGCAGTTAAAAATTCCTAAGGTGCACACAAGGTTTCGATATAATGACTTGCTTTTTTTGTTTAAAATTATAAACGGCATCGTGTACTGTCCTAGAATTCTCTCTCAGGTTAATTTTTATACTCCGGTTAGAGTCTTAAGAGGCTATAATTTGTTTTATATTAAAAAACATAGAACAAATTATGGGAAGAATTCTATTATTACTAGACTCTGTAGGCAAGCGAATCTTTGTCCTAGTGGCCTTGACTTTTTTGATATTAAAATGGAGAGATTTGTCGCCGCTTTACGAGCAATTGTTTTAAATGAAAATTTTTAATTACAATTTTCTGTTCTGGCCGATGTTTAATTTTTAGTTTCTAGATTTTACTTATATGTATATTATATTATGTAAAGGGTATTTTTCACCCGTTTATCTACCAAATAAATTAATTAAATCAATCAATATTTTCTACTTTGAAATTAACATTAATGGTTACAATAAAATTGTACTGACAATCATTAAAATTTCTTTGATTGTCAATAAAAATCCTGAATTAATTTTTTTATCGACGGCTTCTCATTATTTCATCATTACTATTTTACTGATTAAAATTAAAATTTTGAATTTTAAATTTATTTTAATTAATTAAATTAAATAATTAAATTAATTAATTAAATTTATAAATAATAAAATTTTAAATAAAATTTAGTGTTGAACACTAAAGAAAAATTATTTGATTCAATTAAATATCTGTCAATTATCAAATAAATATTTACTTGAATTAAATAATTTTTATTCAAATCAACTAAATGGTATTTGCTTTTAGAACTGAAATTATTGATTCAATTATAATTTATCTCATTTAAGTAATACTTACTTGATCCAAGTAAATATTTATAGAAATAAGTAGAAAAGTGACCGGATATTTGAATCAAATAATTTTTTTCAGTGAAAGAAAGAAATAAAACAGAAAAAAAATTATTTCAAACAATAATTCATTATTTTGTCTTAGGATAAACGAACAAGTAGATCAATAAAATCGATAAAAACATCGCCTACTCTAATAATAAGTTTGTCCCTAATAAAAAATTTCTAAAACTAATTAAAGAAATAGCCTTCTAAACGGGTTATTCTAATGTTCGAATGATAAGACGTTCATGGTCAAAACGATATTTATCAAAACTTTTACACAAAGTAGACATAAAATTAATGTATTTTCTTTCTACTTTACGATAAAGAAAAAACTTGTTCCATCATTTTGTTAATATAAATACAAGTTTAAAATAATTGAAGATAGAAAATTCGCTTTCTATAACAATGTTGAAATTAACTGGCCTCTTTCTTGCTTTCATCGCTGCTGCATATGTAAGTTTTCTTCTATTTTTTTCAAACCAATTTATAACTTCTACTCAAATAAAAAACATATTTATGATATTTTATTTAATTTTACATTAATAAACAAATGTAAATTATTTTCTTTTCTCTCCTTTATTTTAGGCTTCAGAATATAAAATCACTTTAATTAGCGGAAATGTAGTTCAAGGGAAAAATGCTAAGGGTGTAGTGATAAATGCAAAGAAAGATCATAAGGAAATTGAGTGGCAAGAAAAATTTGACAATGATAATTCTTTAACGGCAAGTATTGAAAAATATTTTCATAAATATTTTTACATCCAATAAAGTATGTTTTTTTGAAAAAAAAATTATTTTTCATTCCTGCAGGTTCATTATATGCAAGTTTCCGAAAGTACCGGACAAGCCGAATACGTAAAAATCGATAATTTGTGTAATAAATACGAAAGTGGTACTTTGGAGCACGCCATCAAGCATTTTGTTCTCAAGAAGTTTGGAAAATCTGATAAATGTTCAATAAAGAAGGTAAAAAAAAAACTTAAAAGTTTTGTAATTCCAATATTGAAAATTAAGTTCCTTAATGTCGATAATTTAAATTTCTTTTTCATTTAATAATTATATTTATTATATTAATAATAATTTTATTATTTAATCACAATTATAATTATTTACTTATTTATACTCTCTAAATTTTAATTAATAAAAATGTTTAGTAATTTAAATTAGTGACTGACTTTTTGCTATTCAATTAGTAAATTTTACTAATAAATAGTAATTTCTACTAATTTATTTATTCTACTTTTTTTAAAGTGTTTACTAATATTGCGAATTAATGAATGACTTTTTATTTTTCAATAAGTAAATTTTACTAATAAATTAGTAAAAATTGCTATTTATTAGTAAAGTTTATTAATTTAAAAGTTACTAATTAGAAAATTGGTAATTAATTTAATTACTAAAATTTACTAATAAATTAGTAAATAAACTAATTAAAATTAGTAAACATTTTTAAAAATTGAAGTAAATTTTTTTTTCAAATGACTCACGGTTTTCAAAGTTTTTAATCCTTTTCAAAATTCACGATTCAATATTATTTAATTATTGACTGATATTCTTTTAATATAATTTAGTTTATTTTATAAAAAAAAACTTGTTTATTTCCAGAGGAATGTAAAAGTTAAGTTTCCCATAAAGTTTGAATTCCAAGGAACAGAAGAAAATACAATTTGTGGACCAACTATCGGTACATTTTATATAACTAGAAATAATGATCCAAATTTACTATTCAGCTCCTGGCTTAGAGGTTCCATAACTGGTGAAGACTGTAAATAAAATTTATAAAGACTTTAAAGTTTAAACTTTAAAGTTGTGTTCTCATAAATTATTATGTCATCTATAATTTAACTGCTTATTTCTAATATTAATCTGCTTACTCTTAATATATATTTAACCAAAAATATCTTACATTTAATAAAAAATTTTGTAAATCCGCACAAACATGTCACTGTTAACTTAATAGTATCAAATTGCAACAAATTGATACCAAAAGTGTATCAAATAAAAAATTGATCTGAACTTTTGACATCAACTTGATGCAATTTGGTACTAATTTGATACTTTCAAGAAATATGGTGAAAGTTACAATAATTAATTATTATGCTACAATAATTAATTTCAAAACACAATATTGTAAAGTAAGGAATATAAGTTTGTTTGTATTTTATTTATCACTGTATTAAATAATTTAATAATAAAAATTAATAAAAAAATAAAAGTTTTTTAAATTAACGCAAGTTAATGTTAACAGGAAAGTTTTTCTTCAATTTATATCTACAATAGAGTGAAAAATAATAAGTAATATCAGTATTTTAGTGACTAGAAGTCCTTGAATTTTCACTCATGTTTAAAATGGGCAAATTAGAAGAATAAACACAACTTTTTATCTATATTTTCTGATAAAAGAATCAATGAACTATGAAGCTACTATAAAAACATATAGTTGCATAAAAATATAATAGTTTAAAATTTTTAATTTACCCTACAACTATGACAATGTTCAAATTAATTTGTCTTCTAATTCCATTTGTTGTACTTTCAAATGTAAGAGTGTTCTCTATATGTATTATCTATGAAGTAAAATAATTTCTATATATAAAGGTTTCAATGTTTAATAAATTTAAATAGAAATTTTAAGAACAGCTGATTAGGTACTCAAATTAAATGATTTTCAAAAGTGATAAACTCGTCAAAATTTCAATTATCTTTACAAATAATAAAATTCTTCTCCGAAATTTAATTATTTTGAATTCTAATAAAATTGATCATAGAATACAATTATTTTCGTAAAATACAACATTATTCCTAGGAATAAAATTATTGTCAAAAATGTTTGTAAAAATCTTCGAAACTATTCAATTATTTTCGTAAAAAAATAAAATTCTTCGAAACAATTCAATTATTTAAGAAATTTTTAAAAAATTCTTCCCAAGAATTCAATTCTTTATTTCTATTCAATAATAAAATTTTTCACAGGAATTCAATATTATTCAAAAAAAAAATTTAATAAACTTCGTCAGATTTAAATTATTTTCAATTTTGTAATGAAATTTCTCGATAGAATTTAATTATTTTCAAAAATTTTTTTAAAAATTCAATTATTTTCACAAACAACAAAACTTATCGCAGAATTTCAATTATTTCTTATACAATTTTAAATTGCATTCATTCTTAGATTTTTTTTTAAATTCACTAAAAGAATTCAATTATTTTTAAAAATTTTGATAAAATTATTCATAAAAATTCAATTTTAAGAAATATTCAATTATTTAATAAATTATTTATTTTTTTATTTAAATACTTGAATTTCCGAAAAATTTTCTACTAAAAATTGATTAAAAAATGAATTTCACTTAAAAATTTTAAATTATAATTGAATATTAAAAGCATTATAACGTGAATTTTTAAGAAATAATTGAATTTTCAAAAGGGTTCAAATTATAATTTTTGAAAATTTAAATTAAAATTAGTAAAAATGTTCACAAATTTTAATTAATGATTGACTTTCTGCTTTTGAATTAGTAAATTTTATTAATAAATTATTAGGAATTACAATTTATTCGTAAATTTTACTAATTTAAAAGCAAAAAGTCAGTCACTAATTCAAATTAGTTAATATTTTTACTAATTCAGATTTAGAGAACCCTATAAATTATATTATTATTTATTTTACACATTACTTGTAAGAACTTTACTCACTTTGTAATTTAACATTCTTACATTAAAAAAAAATAATAAATGGTCTCTACATTCTAGGCACTGGATCGGAAAGTCACTGTTTTTTCAGGGTATATAATGCAAGGTAGAAATTCCAGTGGCTTAATAGTACGAACACACGATGACTATCAAGAAATTATATGGGGACAAAAATTTGATAATTTAAAAGTAAATATTAAAAATAAACCCTTTTTTTATTTATGAAGTTATAATCCAATATTTTAAAAAACTATATTAAATAATCTAAAATGTATTTAATAAATTAATGACTTTTTTTAGGTTCATTATCACCAGATTAACGAAAAAACTGGCAAATTGGAATACGTTGAGCTTGCTAATTTATGTGCTTCTTTAGAAAGAGGGTCTTTCAAAAATTCTTTAAAGCAGTTTATTTTAAGTGAATTGCAAACTGGTTGGAGTCTTTGGAGATGTGCAATACAAAAGGTATAAAGAAAACAATATTAAAACAACAAATTTCAAATCCTTCTAATATACAGGAAACTTGAAAATATAAAATATATCTCATTATAATCTAACTATAATTATATCTTATTAAAATAACAATTCCGAATTTCATAAACACTTTTTTTCTCATTTTATTAGGGTTCCGTACACCTACGGTACCTATAAATTCGATTTTATAAACAATATTTTTTAGTATTTATTTTAAATCGTGCTTTTTAAAACCAAAATACACGATTTTAATAATAAAATTAATTTTATTAATTTCAGGGTACCAAAAAAATTTCCTATCCAATAAGTTTTTCATTTCAAACAAAATCTCTAAGTATGGATTGTGGACCAATTGTCACAACAATAAATATTGTTCAAAATAATCGTGATAGTTCTGGCAAAACACCATTGCTACTGAGTATCTTGTTTAGAGGAATGATAACTGGCAACAATTGTAAAAAATAATGTAATATTTAAAAAAAGTTGAATAAAAAAATATTAACATTAATATTAATTATTAACATAAATAATTAACAACAATAACAATATCAACTTGAAGCATACAAATTTCGTTATTATTTATTTTGTCCAACGTCCTCGTGACTTAGTTAATTTTTATCTATAGAAAATATTTATTCTCTGAAATATATAATTCGAAATTTTTTCGAACTTTATATTTTTATTTAGAAAAAGTTTAATTGTTTTTATTATGAAAATTCAATTATAAATGAATTCGAAATATAAAATATATACACGGAAAAAATAAAGTAACTAGATTTTTAGTTATTTATTATTTAATAATAATTAGTTATGTTTTTACTAATTTTCAAACCAAAAAGTTAGTCAAGTTTTACTAAAAATTAGTTTCTTTTTAATTAATTTTTATTTAGAGAATATATTTACGAGTTAGTAAATTGTAGTAAAAATATTTCGAAGTGCAGCATTTATAAATATGAAGCATTTACTCAGGAAATAGTAAAAGTTTCCAAAAGAGAAAAGAATAAAACTCCGGACAATTTCATTTTTTTTACACAAGTAAAAATAATTCTTTTTCCTCCTTTTTAGGCAAGAAAATTCGAAAAAGCCAATAAAGCAACCAACAATAGAAAATAAGAAAGGCCACGAATTTTTTCCATTAAAAAAAATTCTCGACTTTCAAATAACACTTTTTTCTGTAATATTTTCTAAAAAATAAATAATCGTTTTCCTTTTCAGAATCGTACTTGGAGTTGAAAATTATTTTTCTTTTTGAAAAAAAGGAATATTACTCTCTGGCAGCGAATACAAGGCGCGACGTTATAAAAATTACAGACATTTTCAACTGCGAGTGATACCATCAATCCACAAACCGCGGAATAAAAGAAAAGCGGAATGAGTCCCGCTGTGAATCGTCCGCTGATTCACGACATGCATTGCACTCGCACCTAGAGCCCCTTTTTTTCTCTCTTCTCTTCTCCTCTCTTTTTTTTCACAAGCGCACGAGTTTTCGGTCTCACTGAGAGCACCCCAACACCGTTCTTTCTCTTTCTCCTTTGCCTTTCTTCCGGAACAAGAGAAAAGAGAGATTGAAATTGCGGATTAGACCGTCTCGCACAGGAAAAGAGTGTACAGACGTATAATCGCAAGCAATGGTTGCTACCCTCGAAAAACAGGAAATCCAAAGATTATAGTACCATGAATGTATGCAGATTCATTGCAGAACTTTCTCGTTTTCGATGGTTAAAGATAATCCTAGTTCATTTCTTTGCAGGAGATTATTTTTTAAATTGTTATAAATGCGGAAATTCCGTATGAGTCAGGTTTTTCTGACCTGCCACAGGTCAGAAAAATCAGGGAAAGTAGAATTGGTCAGGGAAATCAGGGAAAACTCAGGGATTTTTATAAGAAGTACCATCAATTTTTTCTATTTCTGATAATGATTTATTTTAAATAACTTAATTCTATTGAAGAACTGCCATAAAGTTATTATTCATAAATCATTTAATGAAGTACTTTTTTGCAAAATTTTAATTTCAATTCTGTTGAAATTAGTTTCAATTTTAAAAACTTCAATGCAATTCTTTAAAAAAATTTAACTATCTTAATAAATATCAAAATTCTTTCCAGAAATTTAATTATTTTCAAAAATTAAAAAAAAATCTCGCCAACAATTTAATTATCTTAAAAAATAGCAAAATTCTTCATCAAAATTCAATTATATTCATGAATTTTTAAAAAGTTCATTGCAAAATTAAATTATTTTCCTAAGTAACAATAGGTATTCATCAGAAGAATTCAATTATTTTTAAAATTAATAAAATTCTTCGCAAAAATTCAATTATTTTCAAAAAATCTAAAAGAAATTTGTCGTCAACATTTTAATTATTTATCTTTATAAATGCAAAATTCTTTGTCGAAATTCAACTATATTCATGAATTTTTATAAAATTTATTGCAAAATTCAATTATTTTTATAAATAGGTAATAATATTCATCACAAGAATTTAATTATTTTCAAAATTTTTAATAAAATTCATGGCAACATTTCAATTATTTTCAAAAAATTTTCTTAATTCAATGATTTTCAATATTTTACTATTTTAATATAATTTTCCAAAACAGTTTAATTATTAAACAAAAATTTTGATAATTCAATTATTTAAAAACAATTTTGACAAAGTTCTACACGAATATTCAATTATTTTCTGAAATAATGAAAATTTCACAGGAATTCAATTATTAAAAATAGAATTTGCATACATTTTTTTGAAAATCAATTGTTTGAAACGTTTTTATAAAATTCTTCGCAATAATTCAATTATTTTCAAAAATTATAAAACTTATTGCAGAATTTCAATTATTTTTAATACAATCTTAACCGAATTTCTCGATAAATGTAATTATTCTTAAAATGTTATTAAAATTCGTCGAAAGAATTTAATTATTTAAAAATTTGTTGATAAAATTATATATAAGAATTGAATTTTAATAAACATTCAATTATTCAATAAATTATTTATTTTTGTATTTAAATAATTGAATTCTCGTATAATTTTCTAATAAAAATTGATTTAAAAATTAATTTCAGTTACAGTTTTACATAATAATTAAATTTTGGAGAATTTACTAATAATTGCAATTTCTTTAAATAATTGAATTTTCTAAAGGATTCAAATTAAAATCTTTGAAAATCTGAATTTTTCTTACTTTTAATTAAAAATTCTATGGAATTTTCTAATCGAAATTTTCTATAACATTATTTCAAATTTTTATTTTCTAATGTATATTTAATTGAAGAATTTCCGAAAAATCGAAATTTCACGTAAAATTGAATTGTAAACAAATGAATTTGAAAATTCTCAATTCTCAAGAAGAATTTTAATAAAATTTTAGAAATTAATTACATTTTTCGAAGAATTCACTTTAAATTGTATTAAAAATAATTGAAATCCTGTGAAGAATTTTATTATTTAGGAAAATAATTGAAGTCTTGCAACATATTTTTATTACATTTTTTTAAATAATTGAAATCATGTGAGGAATATTATTATTTCTGAAAATAATTTGAATTCTTGCAACGAATTGCATTACATTTCTTTTAAATAATTTAATTTTTTTTTTGAAGTTTAAATTATTATAAAACAGGAAGATAACGATCACTCCGAGTCTATCTTCCTGTTTTATAATAATATTCTAAAAATTTCAAAAGATTTAATTAACAATTTTTTTAAAATCTTAATTCCTATGGAGAAGTAACAATGATTAAATGTTTATTCAAAAAAGAAGTTATTGATATTTTGAATGATTTTACAATTAAAGAAATTTGTAAATAAATTAAATAGAACATTTTTTTGAGTATCTAATCATTTTTAGAGTGAATCAGAATATTCTTAGAGTCAGGGAAAAGTTAGGAAAAACACAATTAAATTTTTGAGGCAACCCTATATGAATGCAAAAACGATTTTATTATTCACTTTCGAAGCAACAACAAAAATTGCATTTTTTCCTAATTTCCAGTCAGAATTTTAATTTGTTATCTGATCTAAGTCAGTCCTAAACAGAATAATAGCAGCGAAACAACCATACCAAAAAATAAAAAAAAATGTAAAAACAGCAGCAAAAATAAGCACCAACAACAAAAATTAATTTTAAAAAAAGAAATGATAATTCAGAAGATTCATTTTGTAACAGGTGCTTGGAAATCGAGTTTAGTCGCCCAGACAGCCGTATCTTTCTCTGAGAGTTTATCACTGAAATCTGAGAAGTGAGCGTAGCGCAATTTCGCCGAATGAAACCAAGTGGAATACACGAGGACGGTTAACGTGGTCGACCGCGTTGTAAACGTCGCCAGGGAACAGCAATTACGTGTCTACGCTCTTCCACACCGAATGCACGGACGTAACCAATTCAGATTTCCTGCAGTGTGCGCCTAATTGCTACGATTTCTAAAGGTTCGTCCATAACGCAAATAGACTCTTCCTTAATCAAACTATTTACAAGATTACTGCAAACAAACTAAAAAATATTGCCTTCATTCTGCAACTAAAACTTTCGGATCCTATTCATTAACTTCTATCCCTTCAGATTTACGCAATGAACTCTAAATCGTAACATTTTACTAAAAATTTACTAAATTCTTCAAATACATTTAAAATTTTTAAAAAAAATTTTTTAAAAATTCAACAAAACTACTGAGGAATATAAATTTCTACGTTGTTTAAATCTTAGAAGTTATAATCTTTTAATGAACAAAAAGTATTTATTTAGAAGCAAAATTTTGTTTATTTTTAAAATAATTTATTAAAAAGTTCATCATTTCAATTCAATTATTATTTTCTAGAATTTTTAATCAATTTTTTTTAATGGAAGAAGTTTTCGATATTATTCGGAAATACCTTAATTAAATATATATTGGAAAATAAAAACTTCAAATAATTTTAAAAACATTTAAATTAAACTTTTTCAAAAATTCAAATTTTTAAAAAATTTTATTTGAAACCATTTCAAAATTTAATTATTTCAAAAAATTTATGCTTTAAAGCTCTCAATATTTAATTATTATCTAAACTTTTAATTGAAATTCATTTTTAAATCAATTTTTATTTAAAAATTCCACGAAAATTCTAGAAGAATTCAATTATTTAAATAGAAAATAAATAATTTATTCAATAATTGAATGTTTCTAAAATTGAATTCTCATAAAGAATTTTACAAACAAATTTATAAATAATTGAATTCTTTTGAAAAATTTTAATAAAAATTTCAAGAATAATTACATTTTTCGAGGAATTCAAAAAATTGTATTAAAAATAATTGAAATTCTGCGATGAGTTTTATTTTTTATGAAAATAACTGAATTTTTGAAAATTTTTTTGAAAATAATTGAAATTTTGACAAGAAACTTATTAAAATTTTTAAAAATAATTGAATTTTGGAGAAGAATGTTATTGTTTATGAAAATAATTGAAACTCTAAAATTAAATTTGTTTATTTATGAAAATAATTGAATTATTGCGAAGAATAAAAAATTTTAATAAATAATTGAATTCCTGTGAAATTTTTATTATTTATGAAAATAAATGTTTGCGTTGAATTTTATTAAAAAATTTTTAAATAATTGGATTCTTTTGGAAAATTTTATTAAAATAGCAAATATTAAAAATCATTGAATCGAGAGAAATGTTTGCAAATAATTTAAATTTTGCCAAGAATTTTATTAAAATTTTTGAAAATGATGAATTTCGGAGAAGAATTTTATTATTTATAAAGATATAATTGAAATTTTGACGAGAATTGTTTTGTAAATTTTTAAAAATAATTAAATTTTGGAGAAGAGATTCATTATTTATAGGTAAAGATAATTGAAATTTAGATGAGAATTTTAAAAAAAATTTTGAACATAATTGAATTTTTACAACCTTTTGAAGTTCATCTATTTATGAAAATTAGAGGTACTTTCCTAGTTTATAAGGCAAACAAATTACACCAAAATTCACACGGAGAAAAATACAAAGTAACATTTACTATACTTTTATAGTAAAACATTTCTGGTAACTTTTACTACTTTCGGAATATATTTGGTTTCGTTCGAAGTAAATTTTACTAATTTTTTACAAATATGAATTCCCTAACCTGTGGAAACCCTGAGTGTTTATATCTACAATCATACACTCTGATTATTTGCCTAAAAGTTAATTACAAATTGCATAACAGTTGCACTGTTGGAAACATATGCTTGATATGAAAGAAAACCGTATTTCTTGATAAAGGAAAATCTATAATTACTCTGCAATTAGAAGCAATTAGAAATACATTACTACACTCATGGTACTGTGGAATTACCTTAATTGACGACAGAGTGTCAGGTCGATTTGTACCGACTAGCAAATGGTGGGGATAAACGCAACTCCTAGGTTGGGTACTACAGAAAAGAGAGACAGAGAGAGAGGGAGTATGATATCACACTGCACAGATGTATTTGAAACATCGCTGCTGGTTGCCTCAAATTTATATGCGATCTCACACCATATTCCCTACAAATCCAGCGTGTTTCTCTGTGTGCCCTACAACCCCCCTCCACGCCATGCAAATCGTTCATTTCGCACACTCTAGCGCGTATTTCGTAATCCGCGCTAATTTAATTGCTCGTCGTCATCGATGGTTGTTAGTCGGAATAGAATTGTAGGAAATATCCGTTCCAACGCTTTTGCGTGCCATGCAAACAGATTATGACTGTGTGTACGTGAGTATGAACGTGGGTGTGTCAACTACTATCACGTAGGGACACACTCGCCCTAACCGCTTTAACGTAATTAGACATGTGTTGATTTAAAGTGGTTCGAGGTATAACCATTGTGGTTATAAAGAATATTACACACAGTCACCCCTTGCCTGCTTGTATATAATGAAAATTAACTCTCGTCTTTTCAAACCTATACTTTCTGCTAAAGCTTAATATACCTACATAACGCTGATTCACCTCGTAATTATTATTATATTACACCTCACCTAAACGGTTAATATCAGATAATCCTTATTTCACCACCATGGAAAATTAGTAGTTATGAATATTTCATGATTTTCAAAAAGCGATCTTATAATATCTTCGTTCAACATTTTTCGATAAGTAAATAATACAACGTTTGGTAATATAATAATTTGCGTCAATATTGCATGAAAATTGAAAATCAGTGAAATTCTAATGAAGAAACTGGTAGTCATGATTTAAATAATTCAATTCCTGTGAAAATTTTATTATATATAAAAAATTGAATGTTTGCGAAGAATTTTATCAAAAATCTTTTCTGGAATTTTATTAAAATTGTATAGATATCTTTTAGTGTTATAAGTCTGAAAAAGTATCCAAATAGTAGCAAATTATGAAAAAAGTAGTAAATAGTAGGTTTTTGTAGATGAGTACGAAGCCAGGAAAAATAAGATTTTAATTTTATTTTTGACTGACCTTATTTTATACAATAAACTGCATAGGTACTGTAGAACAGAAATCAAATTTTTGAAACTCAAATTTTTGAACTCCCTATATCGAAATCTACATACAGTAAAGGAATATTTATTTTTTTTAGAAGAAGATAAAAAAGAGAGAAAACGTAGAAATCCTCTCTCTCAAAAATTTTCCCTTTAATATGAATTTACATTTTTTTTTTTTTTTTGCAGGAAGTGACTCAAGATATTTCTGCTCTACATTTCCAAGCTAAAACATATATACAAGAAACGTGTATTCCTGCTAATTCGAACGTGGAACTCGCAACAATAATTTATTACATGGCACATTTCCACAGAGTAGCGAGAGGAAAAAAATATAATTAAAAAAAGGGACACTAAAAAGACAAGCCAGAAAATCTCGTCTGCGTATAGAGAATGGAGCTTTACAATAAAAAAATATGTCATATTTGAAATTTCTCTTGCCAACTGAAATCATTCATTAATCCACCAAATTTTAAACTCAAAGCGTACATTTTTCAAATTAAAAAATGGAAGAATAAAAATAGAACACTAAATATAATTATCAAGTTAATAAATCATCACCATATTCACCTAATAATTATACTTTAGAGTTTAGACTTTTCATACTCTCAATTAGTTAATAATTATTAACTAATTTACAAGATTTTTATTGTTTTTCCTTTTTACTACAAAATTAATTATTTTTGACTAATTCAAATTTAGATATAAAAAGCAAATATCAATAAAACAAAAAGTATCAATAAAAGTATTATTATTATTATTATTGTTAAAAATTGTGAATGTAAAATTTTATTTGTTTGTCAGCAACGTTATTTTAAAAAGCCTGTCACTATTAATTGAATCATAAAATTTTTTTTCCTCTTTTAAAAATTCGATTTCCGAACATTATATATAGCTTTTTTTTTTACCAGCGAAATTCAAATTTTCCCTTACAACGGTAAATTCATGTTACACTGAAACATACACAATGCTTATCAGATTGTTTTCCCAAAACGTTTTTGGTACCTTGACATGTATATGATTCATCAGTTTTCGATCCTAATTGGAAAATAGTTATCTCTGATATACTTGTTCTTTATTTTCTCCAATCGTTATATAGTGACAGGAAATTCATTTTTAATCGCAAACTATAAAATATATGCGAAGGCGATCCATAGTCAAAGCACAGTGAAAATCAATCTCTCAAAATTAGGTCACTGATTTCATTTTTTAACTAAAAAATGAACAAATCTTGATATGGTGTGAATTTAGTTACACCAGCAATTTACTATTTTAATTATTTTAATAAGATAATGGATAATGCTATGAGACATAATCTAAATAATTAGATTAGAGAAAATAATTTCGATTTCTTTTTTTTTTTTTAAAGAATATGTCTCTCTTTTTCCATTACTCCCTCCCTTTTCTTCCAAGATATTGTGATAATTTCTTTCTCCTTGTCATATAGATTATATTATTTCTTGTAAAGTTGTAACTTTCGAATAAGACATTGCACCTATTAGGAGAGAACCTTTCACTTGAAGCGTAAATTAAGTTTGTTAGTTGTCTCTGTGTATTGCAGAAGTGAACATTATTTGAAGAAAGGAAGAAAAAAAGCGAAGAAGTTGAATGAAGTTTCAAGGATCTGTGAGAACTGACATTTTCTTTCTGTTCAAAGTTTTCGCTTGGATTTGGAAAATGAACAAGAACTCGTCTGACAAATTTATGTCTTTTGTGTCAAACACTGGTGTGGGTTCATCGTCAAACATGAATCTCTAGGAGAGTTGGTCATTAATGCAAAAGCGTGATTCTAAAGAGCCCAATTAGTATCGGCGGCTCTTAAACTATTCTGAGCATTCATTCAAGTCTAAGTGTACAAATTGGCTGGCCTCTGGAAACAAATTCGATTCAGCATTTCAAACTCTCCTTTACATTCGAATAAGACTCTTAGAATTTTAAATTCATTTTCACTAATTTAATAATAGTTTTCTTTAAAAGTGGAATATTTTTATTTTTTTTCAAAATAAAGAGAATGTTGCATTCAAATTTTTGTACCGACAAAGGATACAAAAATTAATTGTTAATTAGGAACAGTGGGGTAATAAGTAAAAAGACTAATTTTTGTTTTAGGATGTTTGTTATTCAAAGTTGCCACAAAAAATAAATTTTGTTTTTCCCTGATTCCCAGACAAAATTTTGCATTTTCCCTGGCCCTAAAGAATATTCTGTTTCACTCTCAAAATTATTAGAAACTCAAAAAATGTTCTACTACATTTATTTAAGATTGCCCTGACTAATTCTATTTTCCCTACTTTTTTCTGAATTCCCTGATTCACCTGATCTGTGCGGCAACGCTGTTATGGACGTTTTTGTTGTCCGATCACCATGAATAAAAAATTTAACGAAAAACTACTAATTGCCCCATTTGACGATATTCGAAAAAAAATTTTAATTTAATTACTCTTTTAAAAACATGTAAAAATATAAATCAAAAGTATGTAATTGAAATAATATTTTTTCCAAGTTCTCTTAAACAATTATCATCATTTCTCTCGCAGAAGATTAATCAGAGGAAAATTCGAGAACCGATTAAGATTCCTCGCTTTGCTGAAAGTTACATCCGCGAAATACTTTAAGATCCCGGAAAAGTTTCGGAATCACTTCCTGGTTGTGGATCGAAAGTCGTTCGGAAGTCGTTGTCGTTTCTTGAGGCGAACTTGGAATCGTTGAAACTTTTCAATGGGGAGTATAGGTTTTCTTTTGGGAAAATTTCAGTGCTAAGTCTTGGAGAGAAAGAGAAATTGGCTTCCAGTCGCAGAAAATGTCGGGAAAGAATAAAAGAGACGAGGGAAAAGAGCAAGAATGGGAAAATAGAAATATAGCCGTTTATAATGGGTGTTGTGCCTCTATGCAAAAGTTTTTATTAGGTGAAAAAATATATAATACAATTGACGCAGCTGCACATAACAACGTCTCTCATTCTTTTGATTTACCTCGCAGTCGATTTGTGCCATTTTAATTTATAAACAAATGAAATGAAAAGGACCTCCGATTTTCTTCACGTTCTTCTTGAATCGAAGGAAATGCAATTTTTTTTTCTCATTTGGTAATTTTCTTTTGGAAGTGGGAAATTTTCATTCTTAAACGAAGAGAATTTTCTTTTTTCCTTTACCACCATCCTAAAAAATTAAGAAAACAATTTATTATTTTTATTCGTTTATGGCGGAAATATAAAGAGTTTTAATTATAATACATATTATAATAAAACTTACAAAACAAAAATTTATCGAATTACAATAATTTCTATAAAATGATGTAATTAATTATTTTAATTTTTTAACTATTAATTTTTGTATTTTTCAATTACCAAAGCTTATTCTCATTTTCAATTTAATTCTACTTAAATATTAAAAAAAAAATGATATTCTACTTGGATTGAATTGAAAATAAAAAAATTTCATAAATTTAAATATAAAACTGACTTCCTGAAGAGCAGATTATCCAAAGTTACAGTTTCGGTAATTGGATTATGAAACAAATGACTGATTTAACAGGTTTAGAGAAAATTTTCATTTTTTCATCGAAGCGGTGCAAAATTAATTGCAATGACTTGACACGATCGTAAACCAATTTCCCGGGCTCACGTTCATTACGTTTTATCCGGAAAAATGACAACGTTTTCAATAAAATCCCTGCGTTTTCGCAGGAAACAACACCCAAGTGAAAAATGCAATCTAGACAAAAAATAATAGTCTTTCCACTGCAAGATACTTTACTATAATATTAATCAAAATATTTTGAAGTATTTTAATTAATTAAAATAATTTTAATTATTTTTAATTGAAGCAAGACTTTCCCATTTTTTATGAGAATGTAATTATAATAAAAAATAACAAGAGAATTAAAAATAATTCTAGGAATAAATTATAAGAATAGTTAACTACAATTTATAATAAATAGAAAAAAAAAGAAAAATAGAAATAAATAAGAGTTAATTAAAAATATATCTGACCACTGCCACCCCCACCGCCTCCGGACCATCCGCCTCCGGATTTCCATCCTCCACTTGGTTTCCATCCGCCGCCACCTCCACTTGACCAGCCACCACCACCACCTCCGCTAGACCAGCCACTACCGCCGCCGCCACCTCCCAATTTCCAGGCGCTGGGCCATCCACCTCCCCCACCGCCGCCGGACCATCCGCCCCCTCCTCCGGATTTCCAGCCACCTCCGCCTCCACTTGGCCATCCACCACCTCCACCTCCGCCGCTGACTGTGATAACTTTAATAACTTTGCCTCCCCCACTGTTCCAGCCACCTCCACCCCCACCTCCGCTCCAACCGCCTCCACCACCACTCCATCCACCGCCACCTCCGCCGCCGCTACTCCAACCAGATTTCCAGCCGCTGCCACCACCTCCGCCGCCACCACCCGACCATCCACTACTTATGTAACCGCCTGTAAAAAAATTACGAGTAGTAAATACCTCTTGTTTTTTATGGGAACTTGCAGAGAACTAGTCTCTCTCGTTACTCAACACTTCACACCTGTCTGTCACTCAATCCCATAATTGTCTAATGAATTATTGAATACACAAGTTTAAAGACCCATTACGTTTGAATTTAAACAATTTGCGGCTTTCAGCTGAATCCCTTCTTGTTCATAAAACTCTTCCTATTACATACAATCACTTGAAGATTTCCTCAGTTCCAATTTGAATTGATTTTTTTTCACGAAATATAATTACAAAAAAAAAATTACAAAATTACAGAAAAGTCTAAAAAAAAGACTATACACTTTAAAAAATTATTGAAGTAAATGGCATCAGGAGTAAGGAGTAAAATTTTCCGAGTTAAAAATCTACTCCAAAAGAGAGTTATTCTATAGAGTGAAACAAATGAGTTTATTAATTACTCCCATCAAAGTTATTTGACAATTATATTTAATGAAGGAGTTAATGTTGAGGAGTAAAATTTTATTTCTTTAAATTTTACTTCTTTTGCTTCAACTCCAAAAGAATTTCACTTTTATAAAATCCCGTTTGGAGTTACAATAAAACTCCTTTTTTGTAGTGAAGCTTTCAAACTATTAAAAAATCTAGGTAGTAAATGACACCGCGATAGTTAGATGCAAGGTTTTTCGAATTAAAAATCTACTCCAAAAAAAAAATTTATCATCAACTCCCATGGGAGTTGTTTTGCAATTACATTTCCTGAAGGAGTTAAATTTTAACTCTTTTTTCACAGTGAACGTAGCCAAAAAAATGTTCTTTTCAAATTCTCCAAAACTGTAATAAAAACTCTCAATTCAAAACAAAAAAACAAAAATGCTTCAAACTTCATTTAAAAAAAATAGTTTAGTCAAATTCTCCTTATAATTTAAAATACTGCTCTTAATAAATAACAATTTTAGAAACAAATCAAACTAAACAAAATAATTTTTTAAAATTGGATATCATTTTTTTTTAAACAAATATCTTTTAGTTTTAATTGATTAAATAAAAAACATTGATTTATTCTTTTTTTAAACTATTAAATATTACAAATAAATATTTATTTGATAATTGATGAGTAATCATTTATTTGAATCAAAGAAAAATTTTTTTTTAAATATAACTCTAAAGAAAGAATTTTTTAATAAAAATTACAATTTTCTGTCAATAAGAAACAATTTAGGTAACATAACCTAAAATTTAATAAAAAATATTTTTTATTGACAAAAAATTATAATTTTTATTAAAATGCAACTTTTAAATGTTTAAAATGTTAAAAATTAAAAACTTAAGGGAAGGCACCGGTAAAATTTTCCAAAATTTTATTTTTTTCTCAAAATAAAATTTCGAAAATGTTAAAAAAATTTTGGATTAAATAAAAATTAAATTTTGAAAAATAATTGAAACAAAGAAAGTAAAATTTAAAGAGTTAAAATTTTACTCCCATCCATTAACTTCTTGACTACATTTAATTTCGAAATAACTCACGAGGAAGTTAATAAATAATTAACATTATTCCTAACTCCAAATACCATTAACTCCCAAAAATTTGTTACAGTGTACACTGAAAAAAATATTTTTTTTATTCAAATAACTAATTACTTGTGTATTATCAAAAAAAAAATTACTTCAATGAAATAATTTTTATTTAAATCAAATAAATTTGAACCAATAATTTCATTATTTGTAGCAAATATAAAATTTACTTGATTTAACTAAAAATTATTTGATTCAAGTAAATATTTATTTAACAAAAGACAAGTAATCGATTATTTGAATCAAATAAATTTTGTTTTCAGTTTAAAGTATATCATCAAAAAAAGTATGAAAACTACGTTAACAATTTTTGTATTACACACTTTACAAACCGAATAATCACAGTAATAAATATATTACATCGTATAAAATATAATAGGGTAATAATTACCATATGCAGTTGCGGCAATCGCCAATGTAATCGCGAGCACGAACACCTAAAACGAGAAATTCACTGATAAACCATTTCGCCGAAAATCCGCAAACAGTATATATATATATAAAAAGACGTTGAACTTTATTTGAAAATTTTATTAAAATAAATAATACTAGTGTAGGTACATAAAACAAATATAAATATGTACAATGTTTGTTTTTTTAAACAGAAATATTAAAATCCACTTTTCTAAGAAACCGTGCACAATGTTTACGTACCTTCATGATAAAGTGTGTTTGATGCCCCACAACGAGGTCCGATCGTCTTTTATACCTCTGCCTTTCTTCTTGCATCCCCGCCTATTTCTTCTTTCGATATCAACACAAATTCAACATTAAACCACCACCATATAACTTCCTTTAAATCTCGCGTACAGTATATTATTCGATTTATTTTATACGAACAATACATTGTGTTCTCCACCTCTCGCAGATTTCGATTATATATTATATTTTTATTCATATGCTCGCGAGCATAAACATTTAATCTATAGCATAAATGTTTTCTATTCCAAACCATTAATTTTATATAGAATTGATTTAATATTTGCGAAACAAAAAATTATCGTGTTTCTTTAAGCTTTTATTATTTAAAACGAGATGTTTATTTTTGTTTAACCAAATTTATATTTGTTTTTTTAACCACATTTTTATTTGGATTAATCAAATTTTTAATTGGTTTTTATGAAACTAAAATTTTATTCGGCTTTTAATTAACCAAATTGTTAAATGGATTTTATTTAACCAAACTTAATATTATTATTAATTATATAATAAGAATATTAATAATAATTAATCTCTTAATAATAATAAATAATAATAATTAATAAATTATTTATTAATATTAAAATATTAATAAAATAGATACTTTAATTAAATTTTTATTAAATAAAATTTATATTCAGAGGAATTTCTAAAATGATGTAAAAATTATGTTTAATAGTACAAACAGACCGTCCTCTTTCCTACAGGATTCCAATAGAATTCCGACCGTAAATAATCGATTTTTAAATAATCAAACAATTTCTAGAGTGAATCTGATAAGTGAAATGTAGAAGATCATACGAGAAAAAAGAATTTTTTCAATAGTAAATAAACATTTTATCAATATTACAAGGCAAGCATTTATCCAAAATATTACAAGCAATTTAATTCCAGAATATATAAGCACAAAAAATCTGAGTAGCACATTTTTGCTGCAGCTAAAAATGAATCAATGCGCTAAACGACATAGAACGTGCGCCACCTACGAGGTTCATTTTTGTTTTGCAGTAGTTCAAAATGAATAGCAATAGCGTACAACTCGGACTTTTTTTCTGCGTGAATAAAATAAATATTTGTTTTTTTTTTTTGTTGCTTAAGCGTTGAGTATAATGTGACACACGTTATATCTAATTTAAGTGAAGCGTTTCAGGTGTCAATATAATTAAATTATACTACATGCTCTACAGCAATTAATTAAATACGAAACATGTATCTCAAATAAAGCGTGGAACATGGCACTCTCACGGTGTTATATATGACGCGGAAAAGGGGTCAGATGAACTAATGAAATTACATTCGACTGTAATCTAATCAAAAATCAAATCACAGTATATTCCTGATCACCATATATATAGCTAATCAAACCTCGTTATTTAGAGTAGCCCGCATAATTAGGTTCAATATTTTCGAAATTTCATTACAGTGATTTTCACACATATTTTTAATTTTTATAAATTTACCTCTAGGCATTGAGACAATTATTTTTTACAAAATAATTAATTTTCACATTGACAAAAATATTATTTTTTATTTAATATCATTAAAAATGATTACAAAAAGGTGACAAAAAAATTACACAAAATAAAATTCGGTGTCGCCACAAAACATTAATATTGTTTTTCCCTTACTTTTCCCTGATTTTCCCAGAAAAATTTTGACTTTTTCCCTGAGCCTTAAGAATACTCTGATTCACTCTAAAAATTATTACTACCAAAAAATTACAATTTTGTGTCTATAAATAATAATATAATTAATGAATTGAAATTTAAACAAACAAAATGAAAAGTGCCCTTCGAATAGTTCGCAACTCTTTGGAAAAACACGCCCATGCGGGGTCACACGCAGAATAATGCAACTTAGATATCATCAAGAAATAGAAGACGACGAGGCCGTAATACTTATGCGAAGATACGTTGCGAAAATCATGTCACTCGTCGTCTCAAAAGAGGAACAAAGTGTTACCATCAAGGTCACTTTGAAAAGCAGAAAAGTAATTCTGATTCTATCTTAACTGTTTATAATCGACGAGAAAAATGAGAGAGAGAGATGATTCATTAGAACTTTTTTTTATTTTCGCAAATCTTTATTGCATTATAAAAAGTGAGAATATTTTCTCATTTATTCTTTCATGCAACGATGTTAACAAACATTATCAATTAAATTATTTAATCTTTTTTCCATCTTCCTTAAAAAAAATTAATGATATATTTCTAAATTTTTTTCTCTCTAAATATCAATTAGTAAAAATCTTTACTAATTTCAATTAGAGACTGACTTTTTGCTTTTGAATTAGTAAATTTCACTCATAAATAGTCATTTCTACTAATTTATTAGTCAAATTGACTGACTATTCTTCGATACAAATAAATTATTACTTGTCTGTTATCTAAATAAATATTTACATGAATCAAATAAATTTTATTTAAATTTATATCAGATTATATTTTTTATAAATACCATTTAATTAACTTAATTAAAAAGCACTTGATACAAATAAGTGAGTACTTGTCTATTATCAAATAAATATTTAGATGAATCAAATAAATATATGCTTGAATCAAATCATTT